TTGATGTTCTTTTTTTACCATAAGGTGTGTTGCTCTTGCCTCAACTCCAAGTACCTCCAAATGCATATGAAACAGCTCACAAAAACAATGTGTGCAGCCATTTTGATGGGAAGTGACTCAAATAATGTCAATGTTATGTAATGATAAACATAACAATCGATGTAATAACAGTTTTTGTTAGAATAAGAGGGCAATTGCGACAATAACACTATCTATTTGGGCTGAAAGGGCCCTTCAGCCAAAGAAAAGCTATATGAGCCACTAAAGCCACTAAACTCTGCACGTCCCCGAGCTATAATCTCTTCCTCACTGCAATTTATTCTACTCTTCTCTATAAAACCAACCAAGATTCACTCTGACAAAAGATGTCCTTAGTTAAAAAAAACAAAACACCGCACATAAAAATGAACTGCAGGAAACTGGAACTATGAAGATCAAGTTCACCGCCTTCATCTCAAGGAGCTTTAATTATAATACTGCAGTTAAGGGTTGAAGAAGCAATAGTCACGCTTGGAATAATCACTGCCAAAGCTCGCAATATAAGGTTCCTATTTTGTGCAAAAGATGTTCTTCTATTCTGGCATCATCTCCGGGTGGTGTGAACAGAACAGGACCTTGACCACCAAGTCAGTATTTCTATATTAATTCATGATGTTTCACATAAAGTACGACACATTAATTTTTTCCCCAGAAAGGGAGATCCATTGACCTCTATTCGTTGCACACCATGAGCACCTCACTCTACTGCCTGTGTGACAGATTATTTCAAATGTACAGTAGTGTGACTAATTCCTACAAAGCCAGGCTTGGATGTCCTCAGGCATTAGGCCTATTCCTTCTTTACAGGCTTGATAATTGCAGTGTTACAGTATACGCCAAGCACTTGTAAGACTCCAAATGGTGCAGGTTTGCTCAACCTGGTGCCTTATTTCACAAAGGATTTCAATATGTTTTTAATTTCAGACAAACATGTTGTTGGTTTTACACCAGTTTGGACAGCAGCACTTCTATTGCCCTACAAACCCTTTAGATCCTTGCAGCTCTGTTAGCTGACCTATTCATGACTCTAGAAAAGCCTTCCCTTTAATATTTTATATTAAGTATTTGCCACCTGGCCTCATAATCAGACTGAACTGCCATTATGTTTTCATTTCATCATTAGCTGAAAAAAGAAATTAGAGATGTGACCAGCGATTCAGAGCTCAGAGGCCATCCTTTTTTTTTAGATCTGTTTTTTTGGTTTTATTTCTTTTTTTAAATCCCACATCAACTGTTGTTGCTGCTCGGGTAAGGATTACCTCTACTCTGAAGGCACAATCAGATGCTACATTTATTCAAGTATTTTTGCAGATAGTATACATTTATTTTATGAGAGAATAGTGTGTGGTTACTCACAGCAGAGGACTTTGATGCAGGCAGCATGCAGGTTGTTCTCAGCTCGTATCAGTGACCTCATGCCGATTACTAAGAGGTTACCAAAGCAGGTGATGAAGGCCATGACCCAGACAGACACACGCAGCACCATGTTAGCCAACAGGTCCTCAAAGGAAGAGATGCCATCTGTGTTGGGCTTACAGGATCTGACATGGGGTGCATAAGAGCAGTACTGGAACTTCTTAAAGTATCTGGTAGAGGAAAGGAGGAAATAAAAATAGAAAGTTGTAGCAGACGGGGAGAACGACAGAGATAGAAATAAAATATGACACATGGAGGGGATAAAAATGCTAAAGACACATGTTTGGTTATTGAGTGATGACAGACACGGGTGAG